CTGTATTTTATAACAGTTTTTTTTTAATAAAAAAGACATTAGTTATAAAATTACAGAAATTTCATAACAAACTGAAAATTTTGACAGCTTCATCCAAGTCCTATTCAGATCTCTTCATAAGACTTACATCTTTTCAAATCGGAGCAGTCAATCTTTGTGGACCATTTCTCTAAAAAACTATTAATTCGCAGTAGGACATTCTTTAAATAGATGACCTATCATAATTTCTTCATCGAACTCCATTCTATTTGTCACGCTGCTCCAAAGTTCCAACGGGTCGTATGCGCTCCGAAACTCCGTTCGACCAGTTCAACACGTTCGTTTGTCCCCTCAGCCACCTGCTCAAAAATCATGCTACCGGGTGTCGCATGCAAAACTCCTCAACTCCGACGAATTCGGCGCGCCGGTTCAAACGGTAGCGGGTGTAGTGACATTTAGTCAGTCAGAGGAGAAGGACGCAGGATAAAGACATCGATCGGTCGGCGTGCCGGCATCAGGAAGGTTAGACCAGAATGAGAAAGAGAAAGAAAGAGAGAGAGAGAGAGAGAGAGGAAAAGGATAGGATAGGAAGCCAGCAGGGCGTCGACGACGACGCATACGTCGTGGCGCATGACGGCGTCACAGACCTCGTCATCGTGGACGTCCTCTCCAGCCTCGTGGTCGGTCGCGACGCGATCGTAAACGTCCTCGTGAGCGTGCAATGCGGATCACAGCATGGACGACGGGAATAGGAGGGCACGGAGGGCACACGGCATGGCGGAATGAGGTGGGGACCCGGCGAGAGGTCGGGAAGAGAGGCACCAATATCGAACCGGCGGCGCCGGTGGTGGAGGCCGTGGTGCGCGGCCAGAGTGCATTCCGTGAGCGGTAGACGCGTATCGCACGACAGACAGTCGCCGCGAACAGGCATAATCGACGCTCAAGTGTGTCGTTTATAACGTCGGTTAAATAATCGATCACGTTTTGCAATTCATTTTTTTATCTTTTCAATTTTCGCGAGTGCGGAAAAGAAAGGAAATCACGAGGAAACGCGCGCACGCGTGTGCACCACGCGGCACACCGGAAGAGGGTCCAACTGAGGAAAAGAAGTGACGTTTTCCGCGTTGACCGGTGAGAGGAGAGACGCATCGTCTGCTGTCGATGTACGTGGTGGTGGTTGTAGGAGGGTGTGGTGCGCGGAGAACAGGTGTCCACGATCGGAACTCGACCGTGAAACGAGCGCAGGCCGGAAACCAGCGGGACCAGTGCTGCTTGTTCAGCAGCATGAAATTTCGGACCGGCTAGCCTTAACCCGGAAGCCTCGCGTCGAAACATCACACGACGAGAGGAAACGTTAAACGGAGCAGGTGCGCGGTGGCGAACCATGTCGCAGACACCGCCAAGTCCTGCCGGCAGCCGGGCCGGTCCCGGCAGCCCGAGCACGCCACGTGGTGGTCGACTACGTGACAGAGTCAACTACTTCGTGGGGCTGTTCGAGGACAGGGAGGCCAGACGAAACGCAGACGCTCAGTTGCGATCACCGACGAATCCTAGACCATCGCCAGGACCTGCGTCTCGACCGTCCTCCAGGACAAGCGACTCGTCGTTCGAGGAGAGCTTCGAACGAATGGTCGAAGAGGGCGAATTGAACGGCTCGAAGGTGGTCAAATTCGAGAAAATCACGGTGCGTAAGAGCGTGAGGGAGATCGGCGGAGTATCGTCGCAGCAGCAACGTTTTCTGACCGAGGCTAGTAGGACACCGAGCGAGGAACACGCCCTCGAGGACTCGGCTTATCAGAGTCACAGTCATGGTGCCCCGAATCATGGGAGTAAATCGAGTTCGGTCACCTCGTTCACGAGGTTCCCTTCGGAGGAGAGTTTGCCGCATAGGAGGGGCAGCAGCCCTCAGCAGCATCTGGACGATCGAACACCCTCAGAGTGGTACGCCGAGTATCGGACTCAAAGCTTTCACAACGTAGCCACGAGGATCGAATACGTGCGCAGTAAGAGCGAATATGACGCACACATCGTTGAAATTAAAGGTACATATTTGCCAAAGTACATATTCACGGTTGCTTATACCAAGAGGGGTAGGGTTTAAAAACGCGGTCGAGGGTGTATTTGAACTTGGCTACGATGCTCCGTTCTCCTTAAGCGATCTCCAAACAAGTATTGGAGGGTCCCAATCCAGATTATGCCATGCACTGAAAAAGTATAGGGAATAGTAGGGCAGGTGATGTAGCAATTTGTAATGAAGTTTTGAATATTCGGGTTAGTGGGAGTGTCTTCGACCTATCGACGATTAAACTACTTTTTTATAAGATATAGTCAAGAAAATCAATAGCTGGCCAATGAGAGACCTACTTCAATCTCAAGTTATATTAAACATTGTTTGCGTGATAGGAACCTATATAATACAAATCAAGTAGTCAGTTGAAGGGTTAATGATGGGTGCTTAAGTGTCCGTAAAGACATTTTAACCGAAAAGATTTACGATATTAGGAAATGATCGATTGATCATTGAACGTTGGCTTAATTGTAATTAAAAGACTGACGAAACAAACATCGTGTCACTGAGGCTTACGCGAATGTTGGGAAATTAAAACTTTCACTGAATGTATCTAATCTTTTGTAGCATAATTTACGGTCATCACGATCACTTTGCAATAATGAAAAACAGTATCCACTCCGTTTAAAGAACTCTGCAGCGACTGGAAAGATCCCTGACTACATCTAGCACACCCGGTCAATACTTGGACTTTAGATAAAGACTAAACACATTCAGATAACATTAACAACGACAACAGCAAAATTGTGTTAAAAATGAAAAGCATAAAAGATTTTATTTTTCTATACAATATGATAATTATTATTATTCCATCCTAATGCAATAAAGATTAAGAGCAAAATAGACTGTGGTATACTATATTACTTCTTCTTAACCATTGCTGAAGTAATTATGCAATTATCGATTGTTTATTTTTATTCCGCGTCGAGTCATCCTCGATTGTCAAGTTAATTGATCCTGAACGACGTCTACGCAGCCGGCGATTAATCTATTTACACTTTACCTCATGGTGAAACGCAATGAATATATCCTCGGAAGACGATGATCGATCGCACATCGTGGAAATTAAAATAAAATTACACGCCGACCGACCTAAATTCTCACAAGTGGCGACGCCGGCCAGTCATTACTCATTCGTCTGAAAGGATGAGCACCGACTTTTCTTGGTCTCTTTAGCTCTTTTCGTCATTGACAACCACCAGACCCAGAATGCGTGTGTCCCCAAAATCAATGAATCGCGCTACTGTTTTACATACTCGATCTTATCTTTGTCACCAAGATACCCTTCCGTGTACACAAACCAGTAGGTGTTTTTTTAACTTCGTTATGTGATAGTTTTGATGAATTGCAAAATAATTTTTAATCACACGAGACGTACTCAGTCTGGCAAAGAGTTTTCACCTTCTAAAGTTTCATATAAACAATATTTCAAATCACGTAATGGCTATGTATGTTGACCTTAAATTACATTATTAATTAAGTTTTATTTGCTTGAAATAAGAATTTATTTCAAAATGTTTACTAAATCTAGTTATAGATTATTTTACCTAATATCACCAACAAAATTGCAATCTATTTAAGATTTCCAACTTTCGATTAAGATTTGATACTTCTTGCTACGGATTTGGAATAGCGCAAGTTCTTCGGTCTACGTAAACGTAGAGCGGTGGACGAAGAACCTGGCCTTCCCCACGATCAATAGTTATTCGCTGTTGTTAAGTACCGTATTAGCAATTCCCTCTCTGGGACCTCGTAGAATTTTTCTCAGACGTCGACACGCGTTCACGGACGACTTCTCTGTGTGAAGGACGCAGACAACGCATTTCGGCTTAACGAGTACACGAAATAAACTTCCAAGATTAGATAAGGGTACAAAATTAGTACTCAGTTCGATTAGAATAAGTAACGAATGTTAATGTAAAAAAATTATATTTCATTCAGAAAGTCGAGATATCAGAAGAACCAAATTCGCGCGGTGATATTTATATAAAAAGAACAGAGACGTAATCATAATTCATGAATACTAACAACCGAACGACAAAATACGAAACACAGTAAATGTAAATACACATGTATAATATAGATTGATACGGAATGTAAAAAATTATTTAAAATGTATTTAAAGTGATACGCTAGTTAACAAAAATGCAATATCTTGTATTAAAATTGCAATGTGTTCATTAGAAATATATTGCGGATTCATTGCATTTATAAGAAAACAGAATATGTAGAAATCATAAATGGTGGAGGTAATGTATGAAAGTATTCAAAACATCAAAAACTGAATGCATTAAAGAATCATAAAAGAAACATTTACATAAAATACATTTTTTCAATTGATTACTCTATATTAAAATCCAATCTAAATTGCAACTATTTAACTGTGTCGTGTTTCATGACGATATTTCAGATACGTAAACCTAATACTTACATGCATACGTCGCAAGCATTTCTAGAATGATGACGATTTTATTGTCATTTAAGAGAAAAAGATGATTGAATACATTGTAACAAAGAACCTGAGGTTAATCTTGAGAACCATAGACTTCATTCTGAAAAGTTAAATATTATTTGCGGTCACTGTATCGAATAGCCATTGACTACAATGTTCACTCCTCATTATCTTGAGCTAACAGCTTCGTTATTCGAGATCGTTGGCCTCTTACTCGATCGTCTAGTTAGTCTAGTAGAATCTTTAGAGGACTTTAGCCTGTAGCTAGATCATCACATATGCGTCTATGCGGAATAGCTGCCAAAACGCATCCGCTGCTCGTCAGAAAAGGCAAATTCACCCGAGGAACTAGTGGAACTTTCATCGAGCTGAAATACTTCTCGCAAAAAGTTCCGTGACAACTTCGTTCTACTTTTATCTTTTTTTTTCCCGGCGAGGGTAGAATACTTTGACAAGCCAAATTGCTTTTTTTCTCAACTTTCAACGCTGTCTGTTCATCTTTCGTCTACAGTACGTAATTTTAATTTTCGGTTCGTTGATTCCATACACATTATCATGTATCGTGAATTTAATGAGTATCATGAGTACACGCAGAGCTTTCTAACTTTCAATACTTTCAGACGTCTTTAAAAATGAAATACTGCCAAGTTATATTAAGCAAGGTATAGCTGCGAGAACATATTTTTCGATCATGACAAGTAGCGTCTTACCGTGGCCGTGAAAGCGCGAACCGATCTTTCCGGTTCGTCCCACGTAAGAAAATCTTGTATGGAGCACAGACAGCGTGATTACTAGACTGCAGACATTAAAGCAAACTAAAAGTAGGATATTAATTAGAAAACGAAATTTAGTAAAATTTCCCTTTAAACATCACGATATACATTTTTTTATCGATAAAAATGCACTTTTGTATTTCTTGGAGTATTAATAATGTTACGATATCTAATGAAATTACATTGCGTTTATTACAAATCCTGTTAGTACACATTAAAATATTTCACTTTTAATTTGGTTCGTAATAGTGAGCAAAAGTATGGTATATGATTTTCTGTTGAAAAATACAAATTCCAGAAACGAAATGACGCGTGATATTTCATACGTCAGCCTAACTACCTAACAGTTAGAGGGCATATAGACAGCAGGACGCTGCTAGGTTTAAATTGGTCTGGCGAGGCAAATGGAACGAAATCAGATAGATAAGACGAACAACGAGCGCGAAGAAAGAGCGCAAGCGAAAGAGTGAGGTCAAGGTCTCCTCCAGATCTTCCAGTCTGCAGGTTATTATTGTTACGTCATCGCGCGCACTGGCCAACAGTGTCTACTGAGTAGACTCTACTCACAAATACTACTCACTCACTGAAGGTATCAGACATCGGATTTCGTTTAAAACGATGCGCGACCTTCACGTAATCGGAATCCACCGTCTCGGTGTTGAAATTCATAGCTGTCGCGTAGCAGTCCTGGTTAGCATTTAAAAAGAATGTTACATCAGCGGTAATCTCGACTGGATAATACGATCGCTGGTTGTGTGACTCGAGCAAGCGAAAAAGCTTACGAAAATCTCACGTCCGATTCTGATAATTTCTTTGGATAATTGGAATTTGTATCAGGAGTTATCTGGTTTTTTTTTTTATAACCAGAGATTAACAGCAGTTAAGAATGAAGGAAAACATCGCGAGGCTATCTTGAAACAAATTATTTGCTTCCATATCTGATGACTTGTGAGTTTTGAGGAAAGTGCGTTTACTCGGACTTGAATTTAAAATATTGAAAACGGAATAATACTCCAGCAGATAACTACTAGATAAAAGTTATTTGCAGATTAGTACGTGTTAATGAGTACGTGTTAATCATTGACTTATGTAGGGATAGGGATAGGGATAGAGAAGAAATATAGGGATTAAAAATAATTTTTAGGAGAAATGTCTTTAATGATACCCATCCTTGGATGGAATGAAATCGATTAACTAGAGGTCAACATAATGTTTAACGACACACTGGCTCGAAATTGAGTGCATCGAAATTGGAACGCAATAAAATGGATCGAAGAAAGGGAGGCGTAAAGGTCACGGGGTCTACTAAGAAGAGGACAAAAGATCGTTTGTCACTTGGTCAATGAAAAATGCTTAAGAACGAACCGGTTGGGTATCACGTCGAACGAAACGCTTCGTCGTCTGGCACGATTGAACGCGGCTGTACAAAGCGTAATGTGGTAACTCGTACTAATAGTAAACGATGACGTTACCGGGCGTCAGTTCAAGGCTAACGCTCCAGGCTTACGTACTCGCCTTCACTCCAACATTTTGCTCCGTTTGTCCTTATCGCACCGCCTCATAATCTGCATCTTGTTCTCTTTCTTCCTAATGGAATCTCGACTGCTTATTTCAATGGTAGCTAAATTGTTGCTCTTGTAGACATTTAATATTATTCTCAGAGAATGCTAAGGAATAACGACCGGTGCTTCAATCATGCAAGACTAAGGAACTTTTTAGATGATCTTAAGAAAAGATTCATAGATCAAC